TATACAATTCCTTAATAATGTACAAATAAATAATACTCAATTTCTACGGAAGATCCTGCTTTAACCCACCACAAAATACAGTATGATCGAAAAAAAAGCGGGATCGATAACATTTCCCATATAATTTTACATATAAAATGCTATCATCTCAACGTCGTTTTTTTCGATCATATTATACAGTTGAAAACGAGAATTATAATCTTTATTCAGTTTTGCTAACAAACGGGATAAATATTAATTTATATAATTAAAAAGTCTTCGATTGGACGTTAAATTATTTTTTATCGCCGAATATTTTTCTACAATTTAATAAATAACTAAAAATAATAAATCTATATAATATCAATATGGGAAGAATAGGGAATAACGTTTTAAACTTAACAAGAACGTCGGGTCTTCATCTAGGGATGGGACTTTTTTCCGACACATCGATATAACTATCGATACTTAGCGATATGTCGAATAACAATAGGTGACTTTAAAATTATCTGATAATAAACGTATCTATCGATATATCGTCACCTATCGATGTTTAGATAGCATTTCCATAAGTATCGGTTATTGCCAACTATCGATATACGGAAATTTATTTTTGAGTGTATAATTTTATGTGCGTTTTATTTATTTATCGGTAAAATTTCATCAGACCACTTTTTATTCTTTATACTAACTGTTAAGAATATTTTTTTCTATACAGGGTGGTCAATTGAATTGTATTTTAAGAGAAATTTCGGCAGCATATTCTATAGATAAAAATAGGCAAAAAAACTCCTATACATGTATGTCCTAAAATGCTTCGTTTCGGACATAAAAGGTGTATCATTTAGTAGCATCACAGTTTAGAGAATATAAATATATACAGTTGGTCCACTCTAAGGAATGACCATGTGACCGTGACCATTCGAGGTGAAAAAAAAATTTGTACGTTTGCCGGGTGCAGCGGAAGTGCTATTTTATCAGTCAGAACGCTGGCCGTATACGAGGGATCAACTAAAAATACTAAGGAATTTTAATATAGCAAGTAGAAAAATAAAAATACAGTACTACTTTTATTGATTGACAGTTTTAGGCGTCTTTAATAATTGATCAATATTTATTTACTTTCTTCTTATTATTATTTAATAACATATCTCTTTAGCAAATTCTAATACGGTTATGATATTATTCTGGTGTATAATTTTCATATCTGTGGGATCCTATAAATCCTAAGGCACTTTTCCAGGCTCCACACCTACAAGTTATTTTTCTTATCAGACTCTACTTATACATATTATGGTGAATACATTAATATTAAAATATTAGATATATTATTCTATTCTAATTCTTTGGAATATGGAATTGTCAATATGAAAGTACCAAAAAGCTACACCTTTTGGTACCTAAATAAACTGGAATATCAATAACGGCCACATAGAAACAGGCATTTAAAAATGGGAAAACGATATAAAAGACCATAAGTAATTTGAATTAAAAAAACGCTTTCCTGAACATTTATCATTTCTGGATACTCATCGTTTTTCCCATGTCCTCGCCAATTGTTATATTTACTGTTACATAAAATTTAGTAAAAAACTTGTCAATAACAGAACAAGTTGTATGCACGTATTTTTATTACCTGACGATAAAATTTGGACTTTACAGGTAGGTAGTTAAAGTTAAATACAAACATCTAAAAAGCAAAACATGCTATTTAGAAAATGCAAATATCTTAAAAAATAATTTAATATGCACTTTGCCAACCGGTAAATACTGGAAAATCCAAAACATAATAGTAAAGTATCTACTACTATTCTAATATATCTACTAAACTTGTTAAAAATAAATATTTTGTGCATATTTCGAGTAAAATCTTTTCTTAATTTATATGTATATTTTTAAAACAATTTATTCATAATTAGGTTTCCATAATTATAATATACTTAATATGTCCAATACTTTAATTATTATATACTTAATATCCTATACTATATAAACATATACCTTCGTTCATCTTTTGGGCACCTAAAGAACGATATATTGCCTGTCATTCTACTTTCACAACCATCCACTGCACTAATATTTCTAGTAGACATTTTATTCACAATTCGAACAAAACAACTAAAACACTATTTTTGGTTCACCCTATGCGTTGGACCGAAAACAAAACTAAAATATACAGTACGTCTGTCCGTTCTGTAGCTCCGGGGTATCATCCGTGAGAGGGGAAACGATATTTTCTCGATGTTTTTCGTAAAAAATTAGACGACGCGTCCCGTCAATAAAAATTCGACAAATTTGCAAGTAGCCAATAAAGTGAGTGGGCGGAGCGATTTGCGGTGACGCACTCGTCAAATCGACTTATAAAATATATTGCTGTTTATTTAAATGTTTTTTCCCCGCATTCCTTTCATAGACTCAGATCCAGCAGATGTACAGTACTTGGAACGCAGTGTACACGTCGAGCAACGGATGTAGACTGACCCAAGTCTACAAGGCAGGCGGGGAGCGGCGGGAGGAATTTTGATACAGGCGAAGAGTGGGCCAACTGATATATTTATATTCTTTAAACTGTGGTAGTATACTGGGTACGTCTCGAAAGTGGCTCACCTCTATAACTTTTTTAATTTTTGAGATAAATAAACGACTTTTGGTATGTTTTTGTGACATAAATTAGGATTGATTGACGTATTCAAGTGACGTTTTTTACGTAAAAAGGGCTTCGTAAAAATCGCTAAGAATAACCGTTCTCATGTCCTTATTGACAAAAAATAAACATGTTGATTAATTAAAAAACAAAAAAACATGACAGATGATAAATCTGGAACCTTTTTATTATTTTAAATTAATCAGTTTCTATTGAAGTTTTGGTACAAAAAAAATCCAAATTTATTATTTCAGTCTAGTAACTACCTAGTCAGCCTGTTCAGTTTTTGTCAATAATGACTAGCGATGGGAACTGTCGAATGAATTAGACTATCGAATGGTTAATGAATGAATGATTTCAACTATCGAATGGTTTTATTTGAATAAAATCATTCATTCATTTGTATACTAAAGCATATGTGACAACCTCGCCGTGCGACTAAATGGTTATCGTTGAGCCACGACTATCGAATGCTTTTGATAAATGAAATTTAGTATTCGTTTGATTTTTGTATGCGTCAGTGCATTATTAGTTCTTCCAAATTTTTATAACTTCGCCGTATAAATACTGTGCTATTTTTGCGTTTATTAAAATAGTTAAAATACTAAAATAGTAGTTATTTTTTAATTTTATTTATTGACGATTGTGTGCATGTGCAGGTGGTCAAAATTTTTCCAAAATTTGTGTGGTTTTCCGTAGTCCGATCTTTCAATTATTTAATTTTATATGGTATATGGTCTATTTTTTAATTTTGAGAAGTAGCAATTTTTAAAAGAGATGAGATGAACTTACAATTAATTTTAAAAATACATATTTGTATTTTAGATGTTTTAATAATATGAATTAGTTGAACTTAATAATCATATTTAAGTAATGTGGTTGTATAATCATATTTAAGTAAATGGTTATCGAACTCAAACTATGGGGTGAGAAAATTAAAATGAAAGTTTTACACGTGCCAATTTAAAAAAAAAGTTGACGATGTTTGTATTTTGTTTATGCTAATTCTCTTACATGTAGTTTTTTGCGAAGAAATATTTATTTTTTAAAGTAAATGCCAGTAAAAGTAATTATAATTTTTAAATAGTAATATAAAGCACCTAATATAAATAATTTTGATTTCTAATTTTTTATTTATATTTTCCTTCCATTACACTGCATGCTTAGAAAATTAATAAATGTTTATATTTCATGATTTTAAAATTTGTTGTTAATATAACAAATTAGTTCTGTAATTATTATTATTTAATAAACCAACGTTGCCAAAAAAATTAGAGACTATATTATTTTTAAATAGGATCTAATATAAATAATTTTGACATCTAATTTGTTGTTTATATTTTGCTACTACTTAAAAGAAAATATTTATATGAAATGATTTTAAATTTTGTTGTTAATAGGTATAACAAATTATTACTGTTATTATTATTTATTAAACCAGTCTTTGCTAAAAAACATTAAAAATAATTTTCCTACATCCAAAATAACAAGTATTATTGCAGTGTAACAACAGAATATTAATAAAAAAAATGCAGAATATATACATACTATCCCTAATTAACTAAAGCCAAACAATAATATTCTTTGCTAATATCAACTAATACCAAAATATGGCAACAGCGCCTTTCATAATGTATTTTCTGTGTAAATACTAGCACCTCAATAAAAAAAATAATGTGTCCTTATCTATGTCTGACTCCGCAAAAAATCAAAGATGCCGGCTCCTTTCATAGCATTGCAACCGACCGCTGTCGGGTTTCTCGGAAAGAAACCTACGTCGCCGGGCGACAACTAAAATTCAGTTAATATTTTATTATAGTCGATCCTGACGAATGAATGAATTTCATAAATGAATGAATTTTATAAATGAATGGTTTTTGCTGCCGAATTACTAGAATACAATATTTCAAGGCAGATGACGGATCTATTCGATAATTTTTATTCGAATAGTTTTCAACGAATGTTTTCATACTAACTATCGAATTATTCGAATGAATTGCAACTATCGAATGTTTCGATAGTATTCATTCGATAGTTCCCACTACTAATAATGACCATGATTTGATTATTTCGATTCTCAATATCTCCAGAACGATTAGTAGTAGCAATTTTTTTAGGTAAAAAAACGACGGAAATGTGTCACCCTGTAGTTTTATACAGATACGGACGAAAACTTGTTACTCTTCAAACGAGTTGATAAAATGTAGAATGTAGGTGGCGCCTCCTAAAAGTAGGCGTCATATTAATACCGAAATCAATTTCTCATGTCAAAAAATACCCAGACATCATTTTTCATTCAAATATCAACGTTACTTCAAAAATTATTTGGAAAAAAATTGAAATAAAAACTTCTACACCCTGCAAACGAAACATTTTAGAACATACACTTATACGAACTTTTTTAATTATTTTTACCTGCAGAACACGCTGCCGAGGTTTCCCGAATACAATTCGGACCACCCTGTGTAATAGATAATTATTATCGATAGGTAATTATTATCGCCCATTCCTAGCTTCAACCCACGCAACATCAAATTTTCCGTTTCGGTTTTTTTCGCTTGCCGCCTATCAGCGACGTCAAACTGCCGTAACTGTCGGTGCTTGGAGACGTCCAAGAGCCCGTCTTGCCCTCTTCGCATGCCGCCGCGGTGCGGAGCTGAAAATACGCGTCGATCGCGGAAGAGAGTGGAGGCAAGGAAGCGACGCTTTGTGACCGGGATCGATCCGCCCCTAGTCAGGCAATCTTGTAGAAACTGTTGAAGCTGAGCCTGACGCTGAGCAGCTGCAGCTTCATGTTGGCGCTGGAGGCCAGCAGCTCCAGGAACTTGGTGACGATGGTGTCGTACGTTTGGACGGTGGTTTTCACTTTGATCTTGGTCGCGTTGAGGAACTGGTGGAACTTGGCCGCGCGCAGTTTGGCGGCCGCCTTCAGGTCGGCGTTCAACTCGAAGCCTACGCGGCTGTCGGCCTTTTTGCGATAGGCCGCGTAGGCGGAGAATTCCTCCTCGGCCGCCGTGTATATCGCCTCCTGGTGGTTCTCCAACTTGACCACGAAGTTGTAGATCGAAATTAGATGGGAGAAGAGTTGCTGAAAACAAGCGTAAAAATATTTTCACTAGTAATACCACTAGAGGTCAAATTATTTCCGGAAATTTTTTCGAGCTCATGAATATTTTGAAAATTATCCCGAGTCGAAGACGAGGGATAATGTTCTAAAAAGATTCATGAGCGAGAAAAAAAATCCGGATTTAATTTGACCTCGTGTGGTAATCGGTAAGAAAATTCCACACCAAATTGTGTTTGAAAATCAAATAATTAAAATGTATTTTTCGATTTTTGGTCAACTGCATAGACAAACAAATAAAAATAGACTGACAAATCCCATAGTAAAGAGTGGGACCGCGTTCCCGTAGCGCAACTCAGAATAACAATTTTGAAACCAATTAGCAGGACCATGGCAGGACGTACGTCTGTATTGCTATCTTTCTTTATTATGTGTGCTTTATATGAAAAAGAAAGAGATAGGTATAAAACGTATCGTAAGACATTATCGCACATTCTGGCTGGCGGAAAATTTAAATAAGCCATTATTAGTAGTATTCTTTCATTCTGAAACTGAAAATTTTCACTTAAGCTGATTTATTACCTATACCACGTAAAGGAAACGTGGTGTAGGGAATAAATCAGTGTAAGTGAAAATTTGCAGTTTCTTTCAGAACGAAAGAATACTACTATTATAAGGGAAATTATAAAAAAAGCAAAAATTGTACTGTTTTATTAACATATTTATTTATACATAAAAATAAATAAACTTTTTATAATATAATAACAAAAAATAACACTGTTTATTCCAACCACCTACCAATTTTAAATGCAGAAGAACTGACTGTTGCAGGAAACGATCGGCCAATTTTTTTTAAAGGGCGTTAAAAATCTAATTTTCGAAAAAACTGCCTAATTGCAATAACAAAGTGAAAATCCAAGCAAAGAAGACTTTACGAGAATCATGATCTTGAACTATTTTCAAGTTCAGTTTTAATCCTAAAACAAAAGTAAAATAGGTATATTAATAAAGTTTCTGGTTACTATAAACCAGCTATAAACTACCTACCCAAAAAATGAAAAAAATTAATTGTATTAATTTGTTACGTTAAGAGAGGTTCGAAATATTTTTGATACTACTTCTACTTTTTTCTTAATAAGATGATAAATATAACTACTTACTTTTATCTTACCGGGTGTCTTTAACATATCTATCAGAGAAAGGGGGCACCAATACATATAAAAAATAGATGATACTGGTTCCTGCAGCAAATAAAATAACAAATAGTATAACCTAAAATTATAAGTAACAAAATATAAATACCTATATGGAACAAAGGAATTTGTTCCCTATCCATATTCATAAGTCAATAAAATGGAGAGTTTAGAAAAAAAGGTAAATCACCAAAAGAAAAATTAACAAACATGACGAATTGTCATGATGTTGTCATCTTGGTTGTCATGATGACGAAAACGAAAGGCGATTGTTCTAATTTCTATTTAGAAATTACGTTTTATATGGCTGCTTCTTTCTCTCGTTATATTAGAATGAGATAGTTGGCCCAATAGACGCAATGCGCAGATCAACATAAATAGAACGAAATTTTGCGTTCTGAGTTGCGCTACGGGAACGTTGTCCCTATCTTTGCCATTTAATTTGCCAGTCTCTTTTTATTTATTTGTCTATGGTTCTAGTGGACCGACTTTAATCATTTTTAAGCAATTTATAGCTAAATTATTTGACTTTTGAGTACCTCTTTCTAAATTAAAAATGAAAGCTGCCATCTGTAATTTATACGAGGAAAAGCAAAATGTTGATTTTTTGGTGCAAGTTTGGAACACCCTTGATTCATCTCAATAGCTATATTTTTTAGGAGATATTCGCTTTTGAAGAAGACACTAACATTTTTTCGTATTTTTTACATTAAAACCATGCTTTTGCTTGTGGTCCTAGCCAACAACAAACTTTCCTAGCCAACAAAACAAAACTTTTTTTACTTACTCTGGAATTTTCATCCAGTAAAACTCCCCTTTGCACCGACGTTAGAAAATTCAAATGAGCGGTAATAATATCGTCCAAACAATGGGCCTTATTCACATGATTTTGCATTTCAGCCCACGAACACTCCAACACTTCAAACAAGAAATAATACTGGGTCTGATGGATAAAATGAATCATTTTACTCGTTAATATATGGATTATGTGCATGACTGGCTTCAATTCTTAAAAAAAAAACGAAACACTGACTGTTATGTACATTATAAATTTTGCTAATTATTGGGAAAACTGGAAATCGTCAGATTTTCACCAAAATTGGTATACACACTATTTTGAGGTCGTAGATTACGAATCTGAACTTTTTTCTTGGCGGTCTCTTACCGTTTTTCAGAAAAACGGAAAATTATTTCAACATTGAATTTTTCTTTATTTCGGCCCTATAAAGTAATAATTTCACTATATTTTCATTATATTATAGTTTATCTAAAAGCCACACTTGATTGGGGATAGAAAAATGTCCAAAATTTTACTGAAAAACATTTTTCTTAACAAAATAACAAAGAAAATTGAGACCAAATGGAAGTTTGACATTTGATATATCCTTCTTTCTCTCTCCTATGTAATGAGAGAGACAAATATATTCAAGACAATCTAGAAATTTGAAAATTTACAACGTTGTCATACCTTCTATTTTTTCGGGTGATTAGGGATTTTAAATAAATTACCTATTATGAGATCAACAATAATTAAATATACCTACCTATATCCACAAAGTTACGCGGAAGAGTTTTGATTGCATGGGTTACAACTTCCATGCGGAGGGTGTTAATCTTTTGTTGTTATATTATATCAAAAAAAGATTAACCCCCTCCATAAAGAAGTTATATAAAGACTATTTATAACCACGAAGTTGCACGAAAGAGTTTTGATTGCATTGGTTTTAACTTCTTTGCGGAGGGGGTTAATCTTTTATTGATATAATATAACAAAAGATTAACACCCTCCGCATGGAAGTTGTAACCAATGCAATCAAAACTCTTTCGTGCAACTTCGTGGTTATAAATAGTCAGATCTCGTTGGTAAAATAGCAATTACGGGAAGGAGCCGTTCTTCTGGCGACCGCCTTTCGTAATCCCAGAATAAGCGAAAAAAACACGCTAAATTTAGGTTTAGCATTGGCAACGTTGCTTTAAATGCCAAAAACACATAACCCAACCTTTTCAGATTGTTTACAAATTTATTTTAGTAAATTTTCCTCTATTATGCATAGAATTGATTAAAAAAGTAACAGAAACTAGCAATAACATCCATTGTTTATTGAATACCTAACAAAACATGTGCTAGAAAACCTTAAAAATATGAGAAATTAAGAAAAATTCGATGTTGAATTAATTTTCCGTTTTTCTGAAAAACGGTAAAAGAGACCGCCAAGAAAAAAGTTCAGATTCGTAATCTACGACTTCAAAATAGGATGTATACCAATTTTGGTGAAAATCTGACGATTTCCAGTTTTCCCAATAATTACCTAAATTTTAATATGTTGTTATTTACCCCGTATTTTCCTAAACAATTTTGCCATCGAAAGCTGTTGCCTTCTCATATTGGCCAATACATACTCGGTTCGTTTGGCTTTCCACAATGCGCCAAACAAACTCTGATAGATTGGCATTGTGGGTTGGAAAATCGTTCCTATCGGTCCGTCGACGATATAAACCAAACTGAACACATCCCAGCCCGTGTCCCCTATCGAATGACTCATAAAACTAATATTTAGGCGCTTCAAAGTGTCCTCGTCCTCGTATTGGGCATTGGTGACTCTTATAGCTGATTCCAGTATGGCGGAGAGCGTGTGCCCATAAATATCGACAGCGGATTTATTTAATTCGGGACTGTAAAATTCAAATAAATTTATAACTTAGAGATCAACAACTGAATAAAAACTTACGCTAATAGTTCTAGTAAATGTCTGATAAAATCGCCTTGCCCTAAAAGTAGATATCTACGAAGCGATTGTAAATGCTCATACAATTTAAATTTGTTCTTTAACAAATCCAGTACTCTTAAAGATGTCTCCTTGTAAACATTTTCTAGGGTTGAATGGAAATCGATACTTTGTTCTGGAGTGAACAATGCTTCAGCTAAAAATCAATTTCAATTTGGCTTATAGTGATTCTCATCATCTTCAAATGTTTATTCAACCTGATGTATTGTTAAACAATTTATGTAAAGCCTCACGACCAGGGAGCTGACCATCGTCTTTGCATATCTGTCTAAGAAAATTAATACTCTTTCCCGTGGCTAATATTCTGTTAGCCTGTTCCATATTGATAAATGATGGAATCATAGACTTCCTAACGTTATATTTATCATGCCACAGTCTTTCTGCAGCAACCATATTTTTAGATTCGATAAAAAATTCATTACATGGATCATTAATTTCACCATCTAATAACCATCTGGATAACATAATGTAAAGAGGTTTGCAGACTGCCTTTAGAACTTTTTCTGATACCTAATCAAAATTAAACTTGAAAAAATATAAAAAATGTATTAATGCATTATAACCACCTCTTGGGCAGTTTTCGAGCCATGTTGTAAAAACCCGTGAACGGCAGTTATAAGGGCACCTCCCTTTTTATCACAGCACTGTTCTGCAATATAAGCTAACCACTCAAATCTAATTCTGTGTTCTTGCAAAACATATAGCGCTCTTCTCAGTGTCATTTCTGATTGATTATTTACCTAAAATACCATAATGAGTGACAAAATTCAGAAAACACAATGTGACAACATACATTCGCTTGTAATAAAGCTACAGTCTTATAGTATTCAGATAACTCATCATTTAGAGTAGCAGTAAAAGCTTGGCAAATGGTACCACTTTGTTTTTCATTTCCTTCACAATACTGCTTTAACTGTTTGTGTAAGAAACTCATACCAATTATTCTTTCTAATAAGCTTCTCTGTGTTGGCAAGAGTGCTTTTGTGGCTTTAGGATCTAAACTATACCCTAAACCACATGGTTCTCTTCGTAAATATTTTCCTTGAATACCGTGTAAACCATATATAACATCTTGAAGTAGTTCTTGTTCACTCAGAGATGGATAGACTGAAATAGAATAGAAATCATATCAAGGCAAAAAATGGACCCTTGTTAAAACCAACAGTTTTTAACAATATTTTTTAAATTAGATATTACCAATTTTTTTTTATTGCCAAAATACCTACTGTTTGATAAATAATACATTTACCTACATGATTTCGATGAAGATGGAATATCATGCTGTGACCAACCTACAGAAGATGCTGTTGTAGTTTGGGAATTTGCCCTCAAAACAGTTGACATTGAATTTTCATTATGTTTTCTTTCACCTCTATCAAATATATTTCGAATACTAGTACTATCATTTGATAAAATATTGCTTAAATGGACATGAGACATGTTCTTGCTTGAACATAACTTTTTATTTAACTCTAATTGATTTGTCAATGAGGAAAATGAAACTTCTTTGCATGGGACAGAGACATTATATAAAAAACTTAGAAGAGCAGCTTTATCCTTTATAACCCCCTGCAGAAAAAACTATGTGAAAAAATACTATCACTGTTGCAACAAACTTACTGATTTTGAGATATTACTGTAAAGCAATTCAAATTTTTCAGCATTATCAACTGATCGTGATTTTAATAAGTCTCTAATTTGATTGAAAAGCAATGGTTCATGTGAGGGCATGCTTACACTAGTTGTAGATGTTGAAGTTAACCATCTGAAAGCCCTCTCAACCAGTTTTGAGGATAGTGCTAAAAATTAATAGCAATGATTACATTTTACCTTCTTTCAATTATATGGTTTTTATGTACCTTCATTGTTTGAAGCCAAATATTTACAAAGTTTTACTATCAACTCTGGAATGTTACAATCATCTTTTATATCAAAGTTATTCATTTTTCCTGTACGGACATCAAATATTCCGAAATAACTATTTTTTTAATAAACTTGTGTATATTTTTCATATATCTTTTAATATTAACGAATTCTTCGATTGTCATGACATTGACCATAGACCATAGATTATTGACATTTTAGCTACAAGACATTTAATCTACCATTTCGCTCGGAGAAACGTTTTCTACCCAACAATTTATATATGACCCAATCTTCTTTCCTTTGTCTTAACTGGTCTTAACTAAAGGTCTTCTTGCTTAGGATGAATAGAATATGAATAGAATGACTTAAGGCCAAACGTATTTGGCTTGGCGGCTTGGCCTCAAAAAAATTGAAATGAAGATGACGGTCGTATGAGGTAACCTTTTTTGTCTCAGATTTTTGTTCAATTTTGTTTTATAGATAATAAAGCATACATTATTATTTCTCTTAGGTTTGCTATGATATAAATTAATACAATAGGTATTTAATAAATTGGTTAATATGGATTCAGATTCTGATAGTAGCACAAGTGATAACGAATACATTAGTGAAGAATCTGATGAAAGTATTTCAGATAAGAAAACTGAGATTGAGGATGATTCTGAAGATGAAGTTATTAAAGCTATTAAACGCGAATGTGAAAGAAAAAATAATCATCCACCAGTAATTAATTGTGATGATTTTATTACAGACATTTGTTTTCATCCTGTAAGTGATATCCTAGCTGTTGGAAGTATACTAGGAGATGTAATTTTTTACAAGTACAGTACTGAAGAAAACCAGGAAATAAGTAGGCAGGAATTACATACAAAAGCATGCAGAGACCTTGAATTTAGTGAAGATGGAAAACTGTTATATACTACTTCCAAGGATAAGTCAATAATGATCAGTGATGTTGAGAGTGAAAAACTTATAAAATTCTATGAAAATGCACACGATTGTCCTATATATTGCTTAAGTATTATAGATGAGAGTATGTTTGCTACAGGTACATTATTTATGGCAGTCAATTTGATCCAGAAACATTCTTTATATCATTATAAAGAATATCAGTTTTAATTTGTTAATAGGTGATGACGATGGAACAATAAAACTTTGGGATAGTAGACAAAAAGATGGTCCTATTTATAAAACAAAGAGGAATGAAGATTATATAAGTGATATTGTTACTGATGAAGCTCATAGATACCTATTATGTTCTAGTGGTGATGGATCACTTACAACATTAAATTTAGAGAAAAGGTAAACATCTAAGAAGAAAAAATAAAGTATATGTACGACCTAATTTTTTTAAGATGTGTTCAGATGCAATCAGAAGAATACGATGAAGAACTGACGTGTCTTGGACTGTTTCGAACTGAAACTAAATTGATCGCTGGTTCATCAAAGGGCAAATTATTCATTTATAATTGGAATGAATTTGGTCTTCACAGCGATGCCTTCCCAGGCCCTAAGACTGCAATTAATTGTCTTATACCTGCCACTGAAAATATTGTCATTACAGGTGGTGAAGATGGTAATATAAGAGCAACACATTTATTCCCTCATAGACAATTAGGGATTGTTGGACAGCACGATATGTCTGTAGAACATATGGACATATGCAACGATGGAACATTTATTGCTTCCAGTGGTCACAATAATGAAATAAAGTTTTGGAATATTCAGTACTTTGAACAGTGTGAAAAAGTTAGTTCTAAGCATAAAAAACACGAAAGGAAGAAGGACCTTGAAAATAATTTGCCATCCTCAAAAATTAAAAATGTTTCTGACTTTTTCAGTGATTTAACATAAGAAAGAATTATGTTTCTTGTATTTAATAAAACTTGTAAAAGAACTGTAAAAATAACTTTTATTCCCATAACCATATAACTTATAACATTCTTTTTATATGAACCTTTTTATGCTTAAATAAATAATCTCTTCTATTGAATGTTTTATCACAAATATCACAAACAAACGGTCTTTCTCCAGTGTGTATAGCACGCACATGTTTAATCAAATGATCTTTTCTGGTGAACGCCATCTCACACATTTGACAAGGAAAAGGTCTAACGCCAGTGTGGATCCTCATGTGAACCCCTAGTCTGTTTTTGCTTGCAAATTTAAATCCACATATGTCACAGTCATAAGGTCTTTCTCCAGTATGCCGACGCATATGAATGGTCAAGTGGTACCTTTCTTTAAATTTCATGCCACATTCCTCACATTCAAATGGTTTTTCCCCTGTGTGGCTCATTCTATGTTTCTCCAAAGCATATCTCCTATAAAACAATTTGCCACAGAAGTCACACATTAGGTCTGGATCAGGTTTAGGTTTGTCACTAGGAAAATGTGATTTCAAGTGCACATCTAAACCTGACTTACTGCTGTATTTATTGCCACATAGTTCACAACTATACGGCTTTTCACTATCATGTACACGAAAAATGTGACTATTTAACAAATCCTCGGCAGTGAACCTTTTGCCACAACTATTACATCCAAATGGTTTTTCTTTGATTACATGTATTTGTTGATGTTTAATCATTTTCGCTTTTCTGTTGAAACATTTTCCACAGACATCACAGGCAAACGGTTTTGATATTGGGGCATTACTTATATGTGCCAATAAATGTTTTTGTAAACTGTGTTTGTACTTGAATTCCATGTTACATGTGTCACAAGAGAAGGGGCAATTTGTATTATGAGATGGAGTATGTCTATCCAATCCCCATTTTGAGGTAAATTTTTTGTTACATATTTCACATTTAAATGATCCTTCTACTAAATCTTTTGAAAATGGTTTCCTGATATTCCTGTAACCCCTTTTTCTTGGTTCTGCCCTTTCCGTATTAATGCTAAAAATTATTAATAAATAATAATATTGGTGTTTAGATATTCTAAAACACATACTCTGGGCCAAACTCATCACTTGAGATTGATGCATCTTCCATTTTTATATCCAGTTTTTTCCCACTTGAATCGTCTTCAGATTTTACTGAAATATTTTCACTATCAAGTGGTAACTTAAAAATATCAGGCAAATGTACTGGTGGTTTTATATTTGCAGTATTACAGTAACTTAAAATTTTATTCTCAGTATGCAGACAAACAATTAAAAATTTATGAAATTCTTCTAACTTGGTTAAACATTGTTGACAAATAACAGGATCCTTGCTTAACTTGAAATTCTAGAAAAAAACTAACTAAGTATACAAAAGCAAACTAAAGTAAGACTTACAATTTGAGGAAGGCACATAGTTACCATATTTACTATAGATGCAGAGTCTGTGATCTCTAAGTCATTATATTCTTTGAAAACTCCGAGACATATTCGACATATTTTACTTTCATCTTTGCTCTCTGAATCTTCTAAAATGCAATTTTCTGGCAGGATAAGGTTGGATAGATCGCACATTTTCTTATACGAAGATCAATGAACAATAAAAACGTTAACCATGCACCATTCCATCATAACTTGTTCACTACAGATATTATCTCTGCTAAATAAATATATTTAGAAATTAAACAGAAGATATTTTTTTGACACCTCTTAATAATTCTCGTTCTACTTTATTTCATAACATTTTTAATTAGTATTTGGAAAAATTGAACAATTATTCTGTTAAGATCAATAACTCATAATAGACGTAAAATTTAAAAGCACCCAAACTCAATGCATCTAAAAAGAAAAAAGAAAATACCTATTATTTAAATAACAACATTAACAAATATGCCAACTCCACAAGTAACATAAGTCAAATTTGACAGCTGACGTTTATTTTCATTTTATTTTTTTGGATATTGGTATGATGTTTACCATAGATGTTTAGGATCTTGGTTTAGGATAACCAATAACAAAGCGGGTTTTAAGGCAATATGCCTACTTTTAGAAATTAATTATTATATATGACCTATACTTAAATTCAGCCTTGTTTTCTATGAATTCCAGAAGTCAGAAGCTAGAATTTGAGACTGCGACTGCGATTTGATTTATCAGGATTTATCAAAGGGATTTATCGTAAGATCTCATGATTTTGTATCACATCTCACGATACGTGCGCAGGATTTCAAGATTTTTTATGAAAAAATAGGTACTGCTTTCAGAAATATTAAAATATCCGAGCTTCAATTCATGAGCTTATTAAATGTTCTAATATTTAAGTGCGGAAAGAAATTAAAGAGAATGAAAAGGAAGAAAGAAGAAAGGCAAAGAGAAAAACTACTAGAAATTGACGTCTCAACATTGTTTTACATTTGTTTTCTTTTTAATATTTAACAAAAACATTAATTATAATAATGCTCACATTATTTAAATTAATTACCTATAAGCCTAGTTTATATTCTTACTATAAGCTTTTAATTAAACAAAACTCATAACAACTGCGAGTGTTATATTAAAGGTTGAAAAAAAGATGAAAATGTATAAAATTAACAAATTATACCAATTTGATTCACACTGTTTAATAGTTAATTGGATTTAGATCGCTAGATAATTTAAGGCTTTCTAAGGAATCTATTCAAGGCAACTGCTAGAACTAAATTAATTAAGGTAGATAGGTATAGCAAATAAAAGAACACTGTAGGATTTCATGTTATCAACTAGTAAACTCAATGTATTAAGGTAATATGCAGTCCTACAAATCACAGTTAATTAAAAGAATTAAAAACAAATAAGTAAACCCTAACTAATGTATTAACACAAGCAACTTTCTTCAATTTCTTCAGGTTCTTCTGATATCTTAAATCCATGCTCTTCTATAGACTGCAATTCCATTTTGGATTGATTAGATTTAATTAAATGAGAAGCAATGTCTGAAAACATTTCTTCTACACCTTCCCCAGTTTTACATGAAGTTTTATAGGTTGCTGATATTAAGCTGTGACACTGCTCACTGTAAAGATTAAATCAAATTGAATAAGACGAATAATGTCCCTTTTGAATATTACCAAAAAGATTCAATGTCTAAGTCTGAAATACTGGATTCTTCTGTTTCCGAAACCAGATCACTTTTGTTGCCACATAAGAAAATTTTAGCATTTTCTGCATAGGTGACAATATCAAGTAAATGCTGTGAAAGTATATGAAATGTGGCTGGATTGTCTAAAGCAAAAACTAATATTGCTGCTTCGGCAAATTTATAATAACTGGATGTTATAGAAGCTACTCGTTCCATGCCTCCAGTATCCCATAACTGTAACTAATAGAAAAAATTTAGGGGAACAATGAATAGGTAACATATAATTTAAAATTATACCTGTACATTTTTTCCGTGTGCACTGTATGTTTTCTTGATTTGATCTAAGCCAAGAGTTGATTTTCTGTCAGTAGCAGTTACAAAAGTATTATTGGCAAATCTACGAAATAATGAACTTTTTCCAACACCGTATTCACCACAAAGAATAATTTTTTGTTCTGGAATTTTAATACTGGCCATTTTTAGTTATAAACATAAACCTAAATTAAAGTAAATTCAAGAATTGACTAGAGGAATTATCTAAAAAAACAGTACAAAGTTTGTTCGTTTGTAAATGCCAGGTTTACACATAATATACATTTATAAACAAAGTAAAATTAGTTCAATCGTACCAAATGAGAACAAAATAAAACAGAAGACATATATAAAAGTGGATGCATAGTTAATTTAAAAGGTTATTTACGCTACAGCCGCTATAGGTACCGTAGATGTAATGAATAATTATAACTATGATTATAACACTCTGTGGTAAGTTTAGATAACAAAACAAAAACAAGAGTGTTGATTGCAGTGTTGCCAGATATACCATTTAAATGGTATCTATACCATTTTTTCTTCCTTGATACCTGCAAAAATTTTGAGTATACCATTTTCCATTTTTCTACCATTTTTTGAAGACATTACCATTTTTTTACCATTTTTTTAGAATCCCAGCGATCTACATTTTTTAAACTTTTTAATGCAAACCAATCTAGTTTTCCACATCTACTAAAAATATGAAGCACATCTCTATTAGGCTATATCATATCTCTGTTATTTTTTTATAGGTATTATTTCTTGAAAAGTTTTACCTATTTTATTTTAAGTCTATGGTTTTACCTATATTTTCAGAGCCAAATATGTAGATTATTAATGTTGAATTATTAATAATATGTTTTATGTTACCTATCTATTTAAAATGTTCCTATTACCTTATTATTATATTAATTATACCTATTTAAAATGTCTTTTATTACTATTTTGCATAAATAAAATGTTAAAAAAAACTTAAATGCCTTGCGCAAGAGTTCAAAACTGATGTGACAACCAGGGTTCGGAAGTAGTTAATTAAGACGTAATTTACCTGATTAACTACGTGTAGTTTTTCTTCAAAATTTACGTCTTTTCCCGTTCATTAACTATATGAAAACTACGTTAATAAACTATGTATTGATATTATGAATAATTTTTCTTTATATGAGGTGTAATAGAGACAATATGATGTAAATATTATATTTAAAGCCATATTTCATCTGTTTTCTTTAATACATTTTTTAAAGCTTCAACTTATTATAACTTCACCTCAAACCTTTGATGTTTGAAAGTTACATACATAGGTTACATAAACTACACCCTCTACATAAACTACATTAACTACATGTAATGTAGTTTATGTAGTTTTTAAAAAAAAAGTAACATGCAGTTTTCCGAACCCTGGTGACAACCAACAGCTACGATGTTTTCAAACCAAATTGAGGTTCGTTTGGTTTTTGGGGTTAATCCACGGTTAATCATGGTATCAAAATTATAAAAATATTAAGATCCTCTTTAAAAGTAAAAATACCATTCATTTTCAGTCAAATACCATTTTTTTAAATACTCGATACCACTTTTTATTTTTTCCATCTGGCAACACTGGTTGATTGACAAGACATTTCAGAGAACTGTTGTCAAAATTTCACAGATTTCACTTATGTTACTTTTCTTTTGAAGAATTGAAATTTAAAAAAGGTTTAAAAATATTGCAAAACGATTTAGTGTGATTTATAAATTTCATCAAAATATGACAATGGGTGATGAAACTCCTATAACAACTTTAATTTTGCCTGTTGTGATACGCCCAATCTTATCACAGGTAAACAAGTCCTACCATTGTTATATTTAAGAACATTTTATTGTAAATTTTTAGTTAGAAAAGCAGGACATGTCTGCGTCGCATACATTACGGGCCGCGTTAACTAAAGCTGAATCCACATATCCTGGTTTAACACTTGATTTGGTTCTGGGAATCTTAAAACAAGGCGACCTTACTGTAAATATGAATGAAAGCATTTTGAGACTACAAGGATCTGTGCCAGATTCAGATGGTATGTTATCTTCCAAATATTTTTGTTTCTTACAAGAAGGGAATCCTGTAAGCATTTTTTCATAAATTTATGCCTTTATATGTAATATTTTAATTGAACAGCTGAATTACATCATATTTTTTATAGTAGTCGAATACAGATTGAATAGGTCAGAAGAAGCATTTCAGGAACTGAACAGAAAATCTGCTTCTTTAAAGAGGATTTTGAGTAGAATACCTGACGAAATAATGGATAGAAAAAAGTTTCTAGAAACAATAAAGTATGTATTTGTATACTATTAACTGGCAGGTTTAGATATATATAAAATACTTTTAGGGAAATTGCCAGTGCCATTAAAAAATTATTGGATACCGTTAATGCAGTGAATGAATTTATACCAGGCACCACTGGTAAACAATCATTGGAACAGAGGAAACGTGAATTTGTAAAGTATTCCAAAAAGTTTAGTAATACACTTAAGGAATATTTTAAGGATGGACAGTAAGCATATTTGTTAAAATTATTTTTTGCCTTTTGTTTTGACAATTTTTTTTAAACAATTTTTTAGTGCCAACTCAGTTTTTGTGAGTGCCCTGTATTTAATTCATCAAACTAATATGATCATCACCACAGTTAAAAATAAATGTGAATAATTTGATGGGTAAATACCCAAGTAGGAGTATTTTGGTAAAGGTAAAAAGTATTATTGTTATGTATTTTGTTAAAAATATTGTTTAATAATAATTTAAAAAAGTTAATATATACTTCTGTATTTGGTATGTCTGTTCTTATTTAATAAGTATATATATTAAAAAATGTTAATATATTTGATGAATAAGTTACTATGTTATTAAGTAGTTAGTTGAAGTTTATCATTAATGTTTTCATTTTTTTCACTGTATTAGCAAAATGAACTTCGGAATTGTATAATAAAATACCTATTCTTTTAAAAATCATTTATTTTTCATCCATAGATCTGGGATATGCATTTACGGAATTGAATAAAAAAGTGAAGGAAAATACTTTCTAAAAAATATTTATTCTATTTAGAATAAAAATATTAGTGAAAAAATACAAAAATATATCATTCAAAACTAAAATTAACCCAATTTACCTTAACTATTATAGTAATTTGATGCTACGCCAAATCATATCCTAATAAATCTTCCAACTTGTAATCAAATAATTTAAAATCGGCAAGATATAATTTGTACAAATGCTGAATGGTAAAAATCGACAACTGCTGAAAATATTCTCGCAGTCTATCTTTGGTGTGGCCCCCTCTGGTGACAGGAAAAACCATTGTCGGTGCCCCAACCATGTCCAAAATAGTCTTGGCATCCTCTAACAGAGTCTCATAGTGACCTAGTAATATAAACTCCAGTAATACTTATATGCAGGAATATGTAATGGATGTTTCCAAATAGCATTCCAATGTTTGAAATAGGGTAGCCTTTACAATAGGTACCTATATCATGAAACAATTTGTCAAAAAATCAAATAGATTACCTATAAAAGTATAGTTAAGTGTGCAAGGTAGGCACAGGTCAAAAATCGGCGTCCAATGTTCATTCGTGTCCGTACCTTCATTTAATATAAAACTAATAAATTCACTAAAAGACACATTAGCTCCAGAGTCCAGGTCGTCAGTCGTGGGCGTGGCTCGGTATTTCTTAATTATTTGCCTACCGTATCTAGACTAAAATGAGTGAAGGAGATAGAATAGCAAAAAGACTTAATGCCTCCTTTTTCCAAATACCTGAAAATATTTTGAACTAGGCAGATTATCTGAAAATTTGTTCCTATAAGCTGAAAGAAGTCTTTCAAATGGATTTCTTGCAATAAGGAACAATGTGTATTCCTTTAGAATGCGTTTGATTTCCTTTTTTGGAAGCTGAGATAATCTGTAAAAAAAATAAAATAAATTATATTTTGCTAAATTTGTACAGTTCGACCCCAGATCGTCTTTATAGAGAGGAAAAACTTTTTTATTATTGAGACATTTTAATAAAATGCAATCTTCATAAAAAAGTTTGCTTGTTCTATAATGGTTTTCCAAATTTCCATACCTTTTTAGAGAAATTTAAAAAAAATATGAAAATGTAGTTGAATCTTTTCCTAAAAATTAAACGGTTATATGTATAATTTCGATTTCATTCTTTGATAGAGGGTTATATATGTATAGTTAATTTTTTATTCATCCAAGATATTTAAAACTATTCCCAAAAATCTCCAATTTGACCAATTTTCGGTTTATTTTACCCGTTTTTTCTACTGCCGGTCAAAATTTCATTTTGTCCTTATTATCGTCCCCGTTATCACAGATTATAATCTTTGTTTTTTCTTTATTGTTTTTCGTGGTTCCAATTTTCGGAATCGGGCACTAGTTAGGTGACTAGTTTGCGCACATAGCACGCCCACTTATGGCCTCTAAAATTGTGCACAGCGCCTGAGGGTGCAGCCACACTATCCTAAAAACGGCGTATCGGCGTAACGGGCGTAATGACCTTGAATTGATTTCCAGTAATTCTATTGGCTGAAACATTCATCTGTCAGAAATTTTATCTGTCAAATTCATCTGTCAAAAATTTTAGCCAATAGAATTACTGGAAATCGATTCAAGGTCGTAGAATTACTTGAATCGATTTCCAGTAATTCTATTGGCTAAAATTTTTGACAGATGAATTTGACAGATAAAATTTCTGACAGATGAATGTTTCAGCCAATAGAATTACTGGAAATCTATTCAAGGTCATTACGCCGTTACGCCGATACGCCGTTTTTAGGATAGTGTGGCTGCACCCTGACCGGCACAGTTATTAGAGAGATATCGGAAAACCGAATAGCGTCATCCAGTATTTACGCCTCTGTTTACGCGTACCTTATCATGGTTACGATATGCGCGAGTCAATTTTTAACGCAACACCCGCTGATAACGTTACAGCCTGACGTAATTTGCGGATCAATTACACCAAGCGTTCTTTCTAAAGGTGGGTTCATACAGCCAAATAAAATAAAATAAGAAATAAGGAATTCTTATTTGTGTGCGTTCATACAGTCAAATAAAATAAAATAAGAAATATATATTTGCTCATGCGCAGTACGATGAAGCTGGATAAAAGTTAACTTTTACGATTGTTTATAGTAATTTTACTATTTATAGTATATTTATTTATTCGTTGCCTACTATATTATACATTTTACTTATGTGAAATTATAAAATAAATTAAATCCAAACTGAAAATATTTGTAGGTTAGAATTAAGCGTGCGCAAAGCCGTTTTCACATAAAATAAAACAAGAAGTTAAAAGATAAAGACTTCTTATTTTATTTGTTATTTTATTTGGCTGTATGAACGCATGTACGGTATCCCATATAACCAACTTTCTTATTTTATTTTATTCTTATTTGGCTGTATGAGCCCACCATAAATAACCTCTGATAACGTTTAAAAATTGCTTAAATGGGCTTGTGCGGGTATTTGACAACCGGAGCCGGCCGGCGAGATCTTTTATTTTAGGTTATGTTTGAATTGTTTTGAATTATTGTTTTAGTTTTATTAGGTAATTTGATATTTAAGTAGCTGGGATTAGTTTTAATTAAATAAATATGGCCCAAAATATGGATTCCACCTCTTCTAATACTAAAGAACCTATAACGAGTCTTAGGTTTACAGCAGATGACGACTTGGCCCTTCTAAGATCCGATAACTATAAATGAAGAGAGTTAATACCACCTTCCGTAAAGGAAATAACACCTGGGCTTATTAACGTCCATGCACGCTATTCGGTTTAGCGATATCTCTCTATTACGCTGTTTATTGTTATTTTACGCGAGTTTATTTTTGCGCACAGGAAATTTGACTCGTTTGCACATCGTCATAAAAAACAATTTTCGTACCACGAATTTGGGACAAGATTTTTATCTGTATACTTATAGGATACCTAATCTGTGATGATAGTCGCCAGAAGTCGAAACGTCAGAGTCAATATTTAATCACACAGAGTTATATAGCAGAAAAAGTGGCCATGAAAATGTGTTCTTCATTTTAAGTTATCTTAACAAATAGGACTTGGATTTTTAGGACTTGTTGTACCTATGTAATTTGTAGTATAATCGGGATTAACCATTTTAGAACAAGCAAATTTTTTTTACGAAAAATGCATTTTGCTCAAAATGTCAATAATAAAAAAGGATTTTGTCTTGTAAAGACAATCCGGGGACATACTGTATATACGCCAATTGAAAAATTCGAGCATGACATATTTTTATAATAAAAAAAAGGACGATTTGCATTACTGAATCCTTAAATAAAAATTAATGTTAAATTAGAGCGTTTTCAATTTTAATAACTTTCGTTTTGAAAAGATGCAGATGACGAAACCTACCTCAGAGCGTTTGTATCGGCATGGGCGACATCTGCCGGTATACTGACTAAATTTGTGGCATTGGACTGGCCAGTTAGAACCATCATGACTCGTTTCCAATTAGTACAGGCCACTTTTGGCACATAGCAATAGAGCAATTTATGATTGTGATCGACTAGAATATGATTCAACTGCGAGATATTTAGATTCGCCTTGCTATTTAAACCTAAATTGTTGCAAGATAATGTTAATTGCTCCTGACGGGTGATTTGTTCGAACCAGGGGTACTTTTCTGTACAGCACGCTGAAAATGTATCTCTCTTTAATGGGATTTTCCATTCAATTTGATGGGCATGTTATGCCTTATACTGAGTCGCTTGTTTTTGAAAAAATAGTATTTTTCTTTATTAAATGCATAAAGAAAAATACTATTCATCTATTTTATACAGGGTGTTTCAAAACAAATGCGAAAAACTTCAGGGGGTGATTCCTTGTTCAAAATAAAGGGTAGTTTGCTTCATAAACGTTGGGTCAAAAGTCAACCATTAGGGAGATATCGCGGTACAAAGATGGCGGAAAAATAATGTTCTTATTTTTTATCTTGAAAACGAAAAGAGATAGACTAATGAAATTTTATGGAAGCACTACTGTTATGAAAACACACTTTCTGGTATTTTTTTCACTTTTTTAAAACGAGTGGAAGGGGTTGAAATAAACTACCCCTATCATTCTTGTTAACGAAATTTAAAGAAAAATCTTATCAAACACATGCAAAAAAATTAATTTGGATAGTTTAGTTTGTTTAGAAACTTTTTTATCTCTTGTATTTTTTTTATAAAACTCACTGATTTGAAATTAAAAAATAAAATGTAAAGCATTACATGTCAGGACTAAAAATATATTTAGATTAAGAATCTAGTGATAATAATGATAATAATAATAATCTAGATAATAACGTATTGCAGTAGGGTAATGTCAAATAAAACAATATTAGAAACATCCTAAATAGTGACAGCGGCCGACTAGATTTTTCCCTAAAAAATTACAGCTGCCCACTAGATTCTTTATCTAAAAATGTTTTTGTCCTGACATGTAATGCTTTACATTTTATTTTTTAATTTCAAATCGGTGAGTTTTATCAAAAACACAAGAGATAAAAAAGTTTCTAAATAAACTAAACTATCAAAATTAATTTTTTTTGCATGTGTTTGATAAGATTTTTCTTTAAATTTCATTAACAAGAATGATAGGGGTAGTTTATTTCAACCCCTTCCACTCATTTTAAAAAAGTGGAAAAATTACCAGAAAGTGTGTTTTCATAACAGTAATGCTTCCGTAAAATTTCATTAGTCTATCTCTTTTCGTTTTCAAGATAAAAAATAAAAACACTATTTTTCCGCCATCTTTGTACCGCGATATCTCCCTAATGGTTGACTTTTGACCCAACGTTTATAAAGCAAACTACCCTTTATTTTGAACAAGGAATCACCCCCTGAAGTTTTTCGCATTTGTTTTGAAACACCCTGTATAATACTATTATTATACTATTCTATATAATCTTTGTGCCCCATTTATATAGTTTTTCTTACTTTATTTATTAATATCATCAAAAATCACTTTTTCACCTACTCAAAAAGTATGTACTACAAAGTTAGTAATTTGTTCTATTTACTTACTTGGCAATATATTTCCTATCGTTAAAAATATGAACAAATATATATTTTTTCCTAAACCTTGTTTCCTCATAGTTGTTCTTTAACATCTCTCAGGGGAATTAATGAGTGTTTTAGATTTTGACAGTCTCTTAACAAACCGTAACTCAGTTCTGAAAGAAATAAACAAAGCATATTATATTGTTAATTGGTATTAATGGATTTATATGACTACAATGCAGCCACTTAATATCATTTGATGGAAATATGTTGAACGCCATTGAGACTGTTAATTATATTTGATTGCAATTTATACCTATTTATAACATCGTAATTGCTGACTAATTCCTTATCATTTTTAAGCACTTTTCCATTAGCTGTATTCTGTAACCAGAAAGTCTTCCAAATGTACTTCCAGCTGATTTTGGTTTTACTCTTTTGTCGTTGTTGTTTTAACAAGAAACTTCTTTTGATAGCCTTTTTTAAATCCAGCACAGTAGTATTTTGTTGAGGAATCTGAAAAAAGTTATCTCAGAAACATAAAACTTTTGTTCAGAATTGGAAACGTGCGAATTACCACAACATTTAATGGAGTTTCCGAATAACGCAGAACTGTAACAGTAATACTTTGTCCCTGAATAACGGCTATTTGAGCTAAAACCTAAAATTATAAATTAAATATATGAGGAATTTATAAAATATAAAAACTAGTACAAAATATTAAGTATATAATTAAAAAGTATACCTATAAATCAAAATTATTGATAAATAAAATTTCTGATAAACCATTCCTAGAAAAGAGAGATATGTAATAGAAGGGTAATGGTAAACGAGTACTTCAAAAGTAGTGGAAAATTTTACTAATAAAAAATAATAGTTACAAATAAATATATTTGAATACTAACAATTAAAACTTATCTAGGTATTTCTTTTTCTTTTAGTATTGTAATTAGAAGTTAAAATCGTAATTACCTCCTCAGGTGTAACATCTACAGGCAAATCAGATAATAAATGATCAGAAGCTATAAGTCGCTTGATACTACTTTGAGTAATTTCACATAAATCTTCATGAGACAAATTATCGATTGCTTCATCAAGATTTGTTTCCTGATTGTCTTGATTGGTTTCTGTCATTCTGTAAATAAAATGCATTTCTATTACTATTAACTATTTAAAGGTTAATCTAAAATATTTTAAGGTCAATATAATTCCTTGAAATAGAGTTTTTATAATCCTACAAAACCTCTTACTCATATAGAAGTAAACAGTACTACCTATACCATATTTCTGAGATAAAAAAATATATTGGAAAACTTATACAAACTTAAATAGGTATGTTCTCGGGTATGTTACTATCGTTACTATAGCACAGCTATTTGGTAAAATTATCTTACTTACCAGTGAAAAAATGCTTTTCTTGTTTATTAATTTATAATTCAGAACCCTACATATAAAAGTTCGTAATGTGTCAGTTATTATTAAAATATAAAATTGTACTAATTACAGTCTATGAAACATGTAATAAACATTGATAAACAATATAAAACGTGCTTATTGCACAATTCCTAGTCAATTGCTTCCATCAACTCAAAGCACACAATCAAGGATTCTATTATCAACCAATTCATGAATGTGGTAATATAGGTCCTGGTTACTAATGAAAAACAGCTTGGTCTGCTTTAAAATTTAATTACTTGCTGTTGCTTAATTTTCAGTGTGTTAACTTTGGTCTCTGGTACCTTATAAACAAAAACCTGTTTACGGTACTTATTAAAAATTCAGACCGAATTACCATTACTTAAAAATAAAATATAAATATATGTATGACGAGATTGGTATCATATCAGAGATCATAATCAGAAACCATCCAGAAACATAAAATAAAACTAAAAAATACTTACCTCTATATATATATATTTAATCTTTATAATTACCACTAATGAATATTTAAACTCTAATTTAAATTTACTTTTATTTAACGAAGTAATTTAAAATTTAAGTACCACATAACCACAATTTTTTTCCTGTTTGAACCAGAGATATAAGGTACCTTTTTACATGCCTTTTTACTACTTTTTACACTCTTTCGCGTGGGTTGTGAATTCTGAACAGTGTTGTTAAACCGTGGTTAAACTACACGTAGTAATTAATAAACTACATTTACTACATGTCACAAGTAGTTTTTTAAATGTCGAGTAGTAAATGTGTAGTTTATGTAACTAATGTAGTTTTTTTTTAAATAAAACAGTGAAAACGTAACCTAAAAACTTTGTTTGTTGATCAATTTAAAGCATTTGTTCCTTATTATGTGATATTTTTGATACTTGTACTAGTAGTTAAAAATGGTTGGAAGACGTCGATGTCTCCATACCTTGCTCCATTCCTTCTGGGAAGAGGAGAATTATGAAGTTGTGCCTCTAGATGTAAAAAATCATATATTCTCCTGGAGAATGTCTATGGAGAATTTCTCCATAAGAATTTATAGTTTATTTTGTGTTCAATGTTATTTTGTATTTGCATGAGATAAGAATTTGGCTTGATTTTTGTTTAAAGTCAAAATTGTTTATGTTTTACTATATTTTTGTAGGTAGTTTTTAACGTAGTTTTTGTGTAGTTTTTGAAGGTAGTTTTAAAATTTTAAAACGTAGGTAATACAAAAAACTACGCGTAGTTTTTGGCGTAGTTTTTTGCTTCATAAACTACTTAACAACCCTGTCAAAAATAAGTATTTCCTGGTAAATTTATTTTTTATTTTTATTATGTTGGTGTGTTGTTTAGTGAAAAGTCGTCAATGAGATGGTGGCTGAGTAGCAAATTTTTATAGAAATTTCAGATTAGTTTTCTATTCACATTTTACTTCTAATAGAGTTGATCTTACAACATTTTGTGATAATAATTTTGTGAGGTATAATTATTGTGTTAAATACTGCGAACAGAATGCTCGTTGAACAGATAGACGCTTTTAAAAGCTGGCTGACAGCTGTTCTTAAACCTATGTAAGTTGACCCCATAAAGTATTTTTAGAGAAAATTATTTAAATAAATTATAATATCCTCATATAATTTGTTTAAAGTTTCCGTGATTAGTAATTATTTGATATTAAAATGTGTATCATTTACGATCAGACTATTGTTAAAATTTAAAGTATTTATTTAAATAAAAAGGTTTTATTTATTAAATTTTCATAATTTTTTAGGTGTGAAGCGGATCCAGCAGCTCTAGCTAAATATGTTTTGGCATTAATAAAAAAAGATAAATCAGAAGCTGAACTTCGTAAAAGTATGATAGGACAACTTGAAGTTTTCTTGGAAGGGGGTAAGAAACTATAAATACCAATTTGTATCTATTTTTGTATATATGTATGATTTTTATGATTGCACAAAGCCAACACGTTTTTTATATTACAGAAACCGAGGGCTTTGTTAATTTGGTTTTTCAGACCTTAACTACAAAAGATTATATTACAACACCAGTTATACCCAGTGCAAATCCACCAAATCCTAACATTACTGCAAAAACAAAAGAGGCAAGTTGGTATTTGATTTGAAGTTGATTTTTTTCCTAACTGACACTTTGTATATAGGGAAAAGAAGCCAAAGTGATTGTACAACCTAGTGAGTTACCTAATTTAAATGAAGTTGTAAATGGTGGTTCAGCTGATAAGAGAACAGAAGTAAGAAAACCTGACATTAAAAATCGAAGAAATTCAGAAAATGGAGTAAGTTTATAGTTTTATATTTAATTCAGAGCTACTTATTTTCTAAAATTTTATTACAGGAAAGAGAAGAGAGACCCAGAAGACGTTCTAGACATCGCTCTATATCTAGAAATCGCACCAAGTCTAGATCGAGGTCTTGGGATAGAGTGAAAAGGTCTAGATCAAGAGAAAAATCGAGGGACCGAGGGGAAAGGGACCAGCATCGACTAGATAGAGACAAGAGAGATAGGCTCGATAGGGATAGACTTCGAACATGGAGAAATAAGTCCCCATCGAGAAGGTTTGCTGCACTAATTTAATTTTACTAAGATTCAGTAACAATGTTTGCTAATTTTTAGGTATGAAAGGCGACGTTCGAGATCTCCACGTAGCCCTACTCCACCACGGCTAAGATCTCGGTCTCGTAGTCCAAGGCACTCCCATAGGACAAGATATAGATCTAGTAGGAGTCGATCTAGGTCTTTAGAAAAGAGAGAGAGAAGAGATTCCAAAGATTTAAAAATTCACTCTAGGTAAGACAAGTAATAATTGAACACATATTTTTTAATAGGGATGCATGAATACAAAAACCTTTTATAATAGCATGAATATGTATGACTTTTTATCTTAATCTATTGTATTTTCCTTAAGCAGTCCATTGGATATTATTTGCAAAAATTACAACAAGTTTCCAAGGTATTTCTTTACAGACTGAACTTTTAAAAATAAATATTGAACATTTTTAAACTTATATGCTTTTATCTTACTTACAGGCCTGGCACTCCTACGCAAGATTCTAACCATGGTGATGATGTACCCATTTCCAACAGTAATCAGACATTAAACAGTGTTGTTGTTCAACCTAATAATAAACGGAGATGCAGGTATGGATAAATAAAATACAAAGAATCATTTTTTTTGTAATATATGTAGTAGGTAACATTATTTTTTTAAATAGATTTAAAATGATTAAAACTTGTAATCATTTTTTTCTCATTTATGTTTCAGAGACTTTGACGAAAAAGGTTATTGTATGAAAGGTGAAATGTGTCCTTTTGATCATGGCGTTGATCCTGTGGTATTAGAAGATTCAACACTAACTCGAGTTTTATCTTATAATCCCAATGGTGATGTGGCTGGAGCTTTAGGATCTGGGCCGGCCATAGCAGGCGCCTCTGTGCCGCCAGGTGTCCCAACTGCCATGAGGCATCCTGGGGTGGATAACCCTTACAACCCTCAAGCTCCCCAAATGTGGGCCGGAGGAAGATTTAGAGGTCCTCGTCCTATGGGAGCAGTTAGAGTAATAATTTATTTGTCATGACAAATATGAAATATTTGTAATTCATTTACCTTTAGATTCCCGGTATTAATACTTTTGGACAGCCACCATCCTCTCTAGGGATGCAGAGGGAGTTAATTTCAGTGCCTGTTGTGATGGATAGTTCTAAGCCTCCTGGTGTTGGCCCACCAGGAGGTTATGGTCCTTTGCCAAACGCGTCGTATGGGCATCCTGGCGCTGCCCCACCTCAGAACTACGGCCCTGGTGGAATACCAGTAACTCATCCAGGATTAGAAGGAGCCACTCTGCATCCTGGCATGTACAAAAAGAAGGTTTGGGTGAAATTTGTATTCTGCAAATTTAACATTAATGTTCTTATCTCCTTTCTAGTTTGATTTTAATAGACTCGGCCCCAGAAAAAATCCTTCAAATTGTAGCTTAGAATTGAAGAAAGTTCCAGTAGGAATTAATTCTATAACTCACCTTAACAACCACTTTGCAAAATTTGGAAAAATTGTTAACATACAGGTATTATACAAGCAAAATATCAAGAATTGAGTTGTGAAATTAAAGACTTATTTTGTAGGTTCAGTTTGAGGGTGATCCTGAAGCAGCCCTCATAACATTTTCATCCCATGCCGAGGCAAATTCCGCGTATAGAAGTACAGAAGCGGTTTTGAATAACAGATTCATCAAACTGTTTTGGCACGATAGTGATGGGAGTAAACAAGAGAATATGCCTCCAGTCCCGCCGAAATCAGTTAAGGACAGATTAGGTGGCAATGTGCCACCCAACAGTAACAAAGTGTTGAATTTGGTTCAACCAAAAGCAGGAGAGACAGATGTCGACGTTAAAACTGAAATAAAAGAGGAAAAGCCCGAGTTGAGTAAGGAGGATAGCAAAGCACAAGCTGCTGCAGCAATTAAGAAAAATCAGGACTTGCTGGCGGTTCAAGCAAAAGTATGTTCATAACTACTGCTTCTTAAAAATTGTTACCTATGTGTTTTTGTTTTGTTTAATAGGTAAATAAAAATAAGGACGAACAGCGGAAGGAAGTCCTAAAAATTCAGAGCGACTTGAGGAAGAGGAAGCAGGAATTACTTGATAAACAACTTTCACAACAAAAGATTTTAATTGAGAAGATGGAGAAACGTAAGATAAATCTATTTTTTATGTGTGCATGTAAAGCCGCGTCCAAGCTACTCGAACAAAACGTTCGCGAACATATATAATTCACACTATATACTCGTAGCAGCAGGTCGTAAACGACGGCACAGCCCATCGCATCGGTCCCGAGGACTGAGGTGCGGGGAAGAATGCGACAACCAGTTTGCTCTATAGATCTAGGATGCGTTTAGGTAGTCGCTGTTTTTTCGAGTGCCCGGATTTCGAGTGCAAGCATTTTATTAAATAAATTAACTGGTAAACAGTTTAAGAACTTTTGTCGTTGAAGAATCAATATTTAGCAGGCGGAGGGTTACAGGGGTCTTTTGGTAGATTATTCGTTATAGTGTATTTTTAAGATCTGTATTCATTTTCAGGATTTTTAAGATCTGTATTCATTTGACGTATTCAATTAACTTCGGTCGCTTCCTGTTTCACCGGAAATTACTACAACTTTGTATTTTTAGATTGTATCCTAAGTATTATTTTACTTTATTTGATAGAAAATGACATTCTGAATAGAATGACATACCATACGTCAATTTTAGACAATTCCAATTAAATAAAAATAGCATTTTCAATCTAGAGTGCCAAGACTGAGTTAAAACTATTAATTTGTAATCAAAGAACTTTGGAAACATGTATTTGATTGTGTAATTTTTTTTCGTATCCTTTCATGGCTTCTTAAAAGATGCCCAAATCGTATTTTTAATGATAACTCAAATTTTTCAAATGGTACTAGGCTGGCTCAGCATATTTGGAAAAAACATTTTTTACGAATAATTTGTTACCACATACTTGGTATTTGGAGTAAAATTTTCGTTGTTTATGACCATTTTTAAATTGAAAATGTCAAAAGTTGACATATAATATATCATTCTATTTAGAATGTCATTTTCTATCATATACGGTAAAAAAATACCGAGGGTACCATTTAAATCAAAAGTTGTTGTCATTTCCGGTGAAATAGGTAGTGACCGAAAATAAATGAAAACGTCGATCAATCCTGATTTATGTCCTATACTAACATACCAAATCTCGTTTTTTATCTAAAAATTTAAAAAAGTTATAGAAGTGAACCACTTTTCAGAAACACCCGGTATATTTATTTCTAAAAATGTAATGGTAAAATTTCATTTCCGGTGTCAAACTTCCTATTAAATAGTAATTTTTAATTTCAGAATCCCATAATAATTCCGGTTTTTAATAAAAATAATCATACAGGTCTTTATTAACAAAAATGAAATTACATGGACGAAGTCTAGCTACATAACTATTCACACTCAACCCACGATAAAATTAAAATTATAAAATCTTTTCTTTGTGTAAACAAATTAGTTGTAAATGTTTTTCACGATCCCAGTCAATAACTGCGTCCCCCATTGTCGAATACTCGATAAAAAATAAAAATCACAGATGGACGCCCGAAATTAAATGAGACCCTTCCAAGTGTCCGGTACAATGTCCGCCGAAATGCACGCCGTTCGCTCCTTTTGATTTACCGACATCAGTCGGAAAAAGAACGCGCGCGCTCTAGCATAGGCAGACGCACGCTCTGGCGTACAAGCTAGCCGTTCGGCGCTCCGCGCTCCTTAATAGGCCTAAGCTAGCTGTACTTGTTGGCTTTATTATTTATAAATCTACCTATCTCACAATTTTCACTTAGTATCTATTTAATTATATATGTTCGCGAACATTTTGTTCGAGTAGCTTGGACGCGGCTTAACAATATTTTTTTTAGTGCCGCCTGGTCCTCAGAGGGATGTGCTTATGGAGACCATTAAAAAGACGCAGGAGTCGATTGAAAACATTAAAAAGGATTTGGAAAGCGGTGCTTTAGCGGCAAAAACCAACTCTTTTACAAAATCCCAAAAGGACACTCAGAAGGTAAGACACGCGTTAAGGAGTTAGAGCTTGACAAACTATAAATGATTTTTTCAGGAATTGTTGGATACAGAACTTGATCTGATTGCCAAGCAGCAAGAAGGCGCAGATACTACTGAAATACAGATAAAATTGGCCGAGCTTAACGCCAGAGCCAAAGCCATGGCAAGAGGCAGAGGAAGGGGCAGAAGCAGATATACTCCAATCGTTAACAGACGATTGTTAACCAAGAACAATTTGTTGGATAACAGTGAGTTTATTTTCTATAAATGTGTGATTTCGTTACACTAGACCGCGTATAATTCAGCTTACTTGATCAGTTATTATATCTTGAATTAGGTCTGCCGTAATTTCGGATGCTTTCTATATTTTTTAATCGTGGCTGAATGATTTTTTTAGAGCTCAAAGGCAATATTAAAACTGTGAACAAAATTGTGAATAACGTGACGTCAAGCCCCGCGTCACTGCCCGCCACAGCCTCCCAAGCCGTAACATCTTTTCAGAAACATACTGTCGACCATAGACCTACGAGATTATTAATTTCTGGTTATGAGATGGAGGAGCAAGACAGCGTTCTTAACCATTTTCAGGTAAAGTACATATGTATAGTCACTGAATTTGTCAAAGCAATTCCTGTTTTAACAGTTTGATTATTGTTTTTCAAAGTGAGATTTAATGTAAAAAAAAGGGAAACTGTTTATATTTTTTCTATATTCTCCTTCTCTTTCTGTTCTTACAGCAATTTGGTGAAATAGTTGATTATGCAATCGATACGTCCCTACCAAGCATAACTGTAAATTATAAGACCAGAAAGGATGCAGAAATCGCTCTGATTAAAGGAAAACATTTTCAGGTTAGTATCTGATATATAGGTATACTAAGGGCTGGCAAAGGTTAGTCTTGGGTCGAGATTTCCGTATGTAAGAAGAGTACAATGCGTTTATAATGTACTGAACAAAGGGGGAACAGTAAACACGTTGCCAAACGTATGAAATAAACCGAGAAACTGTGCACATCGCCGAGAGACGTGGAAGGGGATATAGCAGATTTGTCGCAGTTGACCGGTCGACCCAATTAATACCTCTGTCAGTACTTAAAGTTCTAGGGAAAGGTGTACGTCATGCGTTCATTTTCACGATTTAATTACGTCTCGTGATACTTAATTTGTTTATTTATTAACGAGTCGTTGTAATTTTTCCTATAGCTTGAATTTTTTGAAGTGCAAGCTAGAAATACTTGCATTTTTGGTAAATATAAGTGGAATTGAGTGGGTGTTCGATAGTGGTCGCGCTATTAGAACTCTGAATTCAAAAATCGATATCTCGAAATCTATTAGAAATAATAGATTGTAGTTTTTTCAAGAACTTTGTTAATATTTCTGCTGTATTTTCTTTGTAGACAGTATGTGAAAATCTTTATCAATAAAAAAATTACACGATTGCTGAAAATTGCTATGCTCTACAAGTAAATTGATGGATTGTTTAGAATTTTTGAATGGAAAAAACAACCTTATCGAATTTTTCTTATGTAAACATATTGTAAAATATCCGATCTTGAAAATAAAAAAAAATTCAATATCTAAAGTGGTTCTTGAGTTATGGCCTGTTATGTGTTAAAAAGTTTTTAAATTATCGCGATTACTGACGTTTTCTCGTTATAAAAAAATGACACCCTAACGATATCCTTATAATCAGAAACTCAGAAACATGTCTAATGATTTTATCTAGTTATCTCTTGAAAAAAAAGTCTTTTAAAAATAAGCGGTTTGCGATCGTGATTTTACTTTACTTGATAGTGAAAGGCGTATCGGCAACGTCGGAATAGTACAACGTCGCGCGTCGCGTCGGTCGGTCGCATTTCTCTCACTCCGACTTAATAAGATCCCTATGCGATTTGCTTCCACACATGTAAATGCCGACCCAAAAGTAACAGTTGCCGGCACGGTATATTATAAACATGAAAGTTTGTGTGTATGGATGTATGTTATGTTTGTTACTCTTTCACGCACAAACTACTGAATGGATTTTAATCAAAACATTACAATAATATAGCTTATTCATCAGAATAATATATAGGCTATAATTTATTATATAATATATAAATATCTTGTAAGAAAATAAAAAGATAAATTAACGGTTGGGTTAAACTTTGTCAAATGACATCATATCATTATTCATAGGCTAACAACTAGACATGTAACGCTTCGGGCGCGGGCAGTGCGAGCGACGCGTATTTATCAAACAACGTTTTCTTACGAAGTTGTCCTAGATAGGAAATGCGCGCGACCGAGGCGGCATCGGATGCGATTGAAATATGTCGCGCGAGTCGCGCTCATCGCCCTCTTTTGTCGCACGCGTTGCCCGCTCGCTTTTGTCTTCCACGTAGGACGAAGCGTAATAGCCTTGTTTATATATTCTTAAAGTTGTTCAACCGACTAGGCAAAATGTGCTGCCAACTGGAGGACAAATCGTGAACCTTTCGGGGCGGAGTCAAAAATATCGATTATTTTCGTTATTTTCCTCAGAGTAAAGTAATAATATAGCCCCGTGTTTCTGCGAACTTTAATAATGATCAGCTGATTAAGAAATTTAAACGAAACTTTTATTTTATTGTAAATAGTGGATTATTTTTGCCTGTTATTTTAAGAATTCTAAACCGTATTAACAAAGAAATTATTATTTCGATATGTTGGTACATTATTTATAATTTGTGATAATGCTAATTGCTGTTAATTAATATTTAAAAAAAAGTTACATACCTATTTTAATTTGATTTAATGCAGGTTTATAAAAGAATCATTTCATTCTTAGATTATTTTATTCTAAATTGAGTGCTTTACGAATTTTACGATATTTTTTTTTGAAAACAAAACTTTTTACATTTTTGATGCCAACTAATTGGCATGGTATTATTGGTATGGGAATTAGCCAAGAAAGAAAAGAATTGGTTATAACTTGTAATTTTTCGAAACATATTATACCTATATCGCTGAAAAGCTTAAAGAATGGCGCTTTTTATTAAGTCATGGCCAACTAGGATTTCCATTTAAAAAAAACATAATGTTTGTGTCATATGTCAAAAATGACAGGCTTTAGAAAAAAAAAACAGAAAACACAAACTCATTAGGTATGTGATTATCTACAACTTTTATCTGAAACCTTTTTGTCTAAAATACCATATGATCGAATAAAAACGGCGTCAGCGATGGCTATCAAATGACGATCGATGATATTTCCCATATAATTTTACATATAAAATGACAACGATCTTCATTTCATAGCCATCGTTGACGCCGTTTTTATTCGATCATACGGTAGATTATAATGGAATTAGAGACAAGTTTTAAAACAGCCAAAATTTGTGTTTTTCGAAATATCTAGTAAGCCTTGAACTTCTCCGAAAAATCCGAAAGGCGCATATTTATGACCCCACAAAACTGCAATTCTTTCCCCATTTAACCGACTCTCTATCTCCACTAGTTTCCAAGATACCCATAGAGAACATCGTAGGAAACTCTAGAAATTAACTATTATTTTTATTTGACTAGATTAATTTGATTATTAAGACTCGATTAATTTAGTTTAAAATAAATTTGATCAGATTTTTTTTTCGTATATTCTACTACCAGAAAACCAAAATTATATGATAACGCACTTTTCAACGAAGTTGAAGGAATATATAGTGTATCTATCACAATACTTAATAGAATTACTACAATTAGAAGAAAAACAAAAAGAAAAAGTACCCAAGTACCTTCACCTACTACACATCTACAAAATAAACGAATATAATCTCTTATAAAAACACTACACAACTACTTCTTGTATTTTACACTGAAAAAATTATAAACTTACTAATTAATCAAACAAAAAGAAAAAATAACCAAATTATCCCTTCACCCAACCCTTCGCCTACTACTTAACTACAAAATAAATAAACTATAAAAACACTACTAAACTATTTCTGGTATTCTACACTAAACATTATAATTAAACTTAATAAAATTTATCTAATTTTACACTACAACCACTACAACTATAAAGAAATAGGAACATTTTTTAAAACTAGAAGAAAAAGAACTTCGATTCGAGCGACCAGTATAATAGATCAAGCGGACAAAGAATATAAAATACTTTAAAAATGTGCATTCGGAAAGAAAAAATATCTGGAAAATTATCTAAACAAACATTTTTTTTTCTTATCAGTGAAAAGCATCGACCTCGTCGGCCTTGCGGAATTGTCGGGTATTTACAATGGTCAAATTGTATAATTGCCAGCGGCATATCAATAGACAAAAAGTATCTGGTCGATTAGTAACCAATTGGCACAGTCCGAAATTATAATTATTTTATTTTCTCTGTTTTTATTGGTCGCTTCAAAATTCAGAGTAACAAAAAATATTTTTCTGTAGTAAAAGACTGTGAAATACGCCCCGCCATCTGGTGCTTTACATCCATAAACGTCTTAGGTTGAGCTACTTTAAAAATTCATATACAAGGGTAATAGGTACTTTCAAAAATTGCCACTAGATTCTATAATAAATATTACATTTCATATTAATAAAATTGGAATTTTATGCAGATAAAGTCGCGGGAAAAACTACTTGTAATATAAAACTTATTTCTTCTTGACATACTACTGTATGATCGAAAAAAACGGCGTCCAGTTGGCTTGGAAATGACGATCGATGACATTCCCCATATAATTTCACATATAAACATGACCGCGATTTTTATTTCTTAGCCAACGCTGACGCCGTTTTTTTTTCCGACCGTACTGTGGATTCCAATGTTTGTGATATTATAATTTGAAACAAAATTACAGGATCGTACCTTATCAATCACTTGGCAAAGTGGAAATTCTCATCGTTTACAAACTCAGAGAAGTGGGGATTCATCAACAAGAACTGTAATGCTGTCTGAATCAGAAGAGGATCAACTCATTGATCAAAACCTTTTGGATGGAGATGAAGAAGTAAGTGAAATAGAAGTATCCCAAAACTCTAATATATGATATGATCTTTCTCTAAATGATTATTTAACTGTTTTAGTTGCTTCCGGAGACTGAAGAAGCTCTACTACAAGATGACGAAGAAGAGGACGAGGAAGATCGTTCCTGGAGGCGATAGTTGGAAGTGAAGTGTATTGATTGTGTTTATAATGTGACTTTTCTTTAGAACTGATTGTTAGAATCACTTTCAATTTATTTCTTGTGCACTAAGCGTCTTAAGTTCTGTTTTAACCACAAGTTTTTAACATTTACTTGAGATGAGGCTAGAAGTGCCGGTTTTCGGCATTTTAGGCCGTCGTCGGTTGGAATTTATTCCTAACGTTTCTCTAGCACAAGTGGCTGGCATCTTCAGAGGTGCGCCCACTGCTAGCACCGGGCAAATTTGAAAGCATATAAAAGAAAATAAGTAGAAAAGAAGATGCTAGTCATTTGTTCTTAAGACGTACCGTGAAGTGGGGTGACTTTGCCCAATTCTGAATTTTAAATCGTGTTTATTTCAAAAATTGTTGTATTTTCTCAAATGCGCATGGTCTATGCTATAAGTGGTAATAAGGACAACACAACAATAATACGCTTTTTTGTTTATTAAACAAATATACATAGGGTGTTTCAAAACAAATGCGAAAAACTTCAGGGGGTGATTCCTTGTTCAAAATAAAGGGTAGTTTGCTTCATAAACGTTGGGTCAAAAGTCAACCATTAGGGAGATATTGCGGTACAAAGATGGCGGAAAAATAATGTTTTTATTTTTATCTTGAAAACAGAAAAGATAGACCTAATAAAATTTTAATGACTCTCAAAATAAAAAAAAACACTTTCTGGTAATTTTTCACTTTTTAAAATGAGGGAAAGGGGTTGAAATAAACTACCCCTATCATTCTTGTTGCTGAAATTTAAGGAAAAATGCCTCAAATACACCAAAAAATTAATTTGGATAGTTTAGTTTGTTTAGAAACTTTTTTATCTCTTGTATTTTTTGATAAAATTCACCGATTTGAAATTAAAAAATAAAATGTAAAGCATTAGGTACATGTCAGGACAAAAAATTTCTGATAAAGAATCTATATAGTGGGCTGCTGTAATTTTTTTTTTTAGGAAAAAATCTAGTCGGCCGCTGTTACTTTTAGGATGTTCCTAATATTATTTCATTTGACATTACTCTACTGCAATACGTTATTATCTAGATGATTTATTCGCTATCGTTATTTATCACTAGATTCTTAATCTAAAAATGTTTTGTGTCCTGACATGTAATGCTTTACATTTTATTTTTAATTTCAATCCGGTAGTTTATCAAAAAATACAGAAAATGGACTAAACAAACAAACATCAAATATTTTTGCATGTGTTGATAAGATTTTCATAAAATTTCGTTAACAAACGATAGAATGGTATTCAACTCTTCGGCCACAAAAGTAATACCAGAAAAGTGTGTTTGTTTCATAAAATTTTCTGTTTTCAGGTAAAAACATGTTCACTATACAATGATTGACTTGACCCAACGTTCTCAAACTTACACTGACCTGAACGAAATCGCCATTTCTTCAAGCACCTATATATAAAGTAAAAACTGGACGGGCAAAGTTAGTTGCTTATATGGGGCGTCTTTGCCCTCTTCCTTATTCTTATTGATAGATTAAAGCCACCCCATTTAAAAGCATAATTACGTAAAATATGCTTCATCACCCTCAATATTATAACGAACTTCTGCATAATACTTACCTCAATATAGCGTGGTTAACTATTGCAGCCACGTCGAAGTTTGAAACGCACAAAATAGGCTTTAAAAACAGATTTGGCTTCACAGCACTGTAAATGCTACATCGCAGCTGTCAGCAAGCGTTTAACGACGTTCCGAGACGTGGGGCGCCTCCACCCATAATTTACCAATAACCAGAGAATAGGTACATTAAAGAAATGCTAACTTCATGTTAAAAAATGGAAACAGACGCCACCTGGTGTCGCCTGGCAGTACTAGCTAAATTGAGGGGAATTGGAGGGGCGGGGCTTAAGAGGAAATTTAAAAAAAAATATATTTTTATAAGTATCACTGACTTACTGTTTAAGTTAATAAACATATTTTTATTACTTTAATATAATTTAATGTATTTAAAAATATGTCTATTAACACACAGCTAAATCAATAATATTATTAAAGACATTATTTTCAGAGAATTCATAGTAAATTGCACATTAGTAAACAATATCATTTTATTTTTTAGAGCTGCGATTTATATTACAATAATATTGAAATATATATATATTTTAACAATGAAGAATATCCGGAACCTGAAAAGAAAGATGATCAATTAATGACTTACATTAGTTCAAAATACATTTTGCAAATAACTAGTGAATTGGAAAAATAAACATACTATTAAAAAAGACATTTTAGTAGTATGTTATCATCTATTACTGATAATACAGTATATAATAGGTAAATAACATTCATAAGGCACTATGATACAACTACCTGTATCATGATAACACACTAATAGGACAAAAAATATATGCTAATTTAAATTCCTTTAATGATCTAGTGAAACACTATCTAGCCTCAATGCATGCCATTCCAAAGGCAAAAAAACTGTTATACCAAATAAATATAAGCACAATAAAACATAAACCAAGCCAACGTGCATAAACAACCAAAAAAATGCATCAAAAATACTTTTATCAGATCATACCCTTGGATATAATATGTATTTTATATATCGCACATCCGTTCAAAAGTTTACTAACTCAAATTAGAGAATATAGAGAACATTGTCAGGAGAGTAAAGAAAATTTAAGTTAAACAATATGCTCCTTTAGCAATACGTAACTGG